CAGTCAGAAAAGCTCCAGAACGAAAGGGGAGACTAAGGCACAGGGATACAGGGGCACGGATATCCCAGAGATCAAAATCTCTACCCCCACCACCTGGAGAGTGCAGAACTGAAGGAAATGTAGAAGATGGAGGTGGAACATCTGAAGATATCCAAAATCACTTGGCAACAAACTTGAAAGGGGAAATCTCTTGGAGTGTATCACATTTGAGAAGCTTGTTTGCTGACAGCACGCGCCCACCACCCTACCGACCGCCTCCTAGTGTTATTCCCAGTTATCGTGCACCAATCACTTCTTACCATCTGGGCAGTAGCAGCCAGTCAGAACGTTATGTAGTTACACGAAGGCTGCTATTAGACTCGGGACCAAGACTGCAGGGTCTTGACTGCACAGATGAAGAGGAGTCATACGTATGAGCCTTATCCTGTTGCAAAGTAACCAAGTACCTGAGGGGGATGTGTGGGTGAGACAGTACACAGAACATGAGTCTTTGTAGCCAGGAACTCATTCTATAGTTGTGTTCAGGTCTTCAACATAAGTCCCTGTGCATTGTCTCAAATAAGAGCCAGTTACCACTTTTTATTCAAAATACTTAATTTCTTGTTTCTCTATTTTATATCGCAAAGTTTTTATGTGTTCCGTATTCTATGTAGCCTTAAAAGGCAGACTGAGCAGTATTTCAAGAATCCAGCTTGATATTTCCTGTTCCGGTCATATGTGACAGGATAGTCAATGTTGAATTAACCACTTTTTATATGCCAAATTAATACAAGCTCATGTAAATTCAGTATGAAACTAGCATTTGATAATTTTAATGTAATTTGATTAGATATTACAATATATTGTAAATGCACTGGAATGGCAAGGATATTTTTGGTGATTTTAAAACCCCATCTGTCCGATACTACTACTTGCCTTGAATATGTATAATATTTAGGTTGGGGAGGAGTCATGAATAATTCTCTTCATCCTCAAATATAAAACTGGTCTCAAATCATCATCACACCGTATCATACAAATTTAGTACGATGAGGCCCTAGCATTTCAAAATAAATTTCATCCTCAGGGGTAATGTTATGTATATATTCCAGACATGTGCACCATCGATTAGATTAAATTTATGTAATTGGCTATTTCTAAGGATCTAAGATTCATCAATACCACGGATGAATTGTGAATAAGTATACAGTAAAATGGAATGTTGAGGTACACGAATATTTTTTTTTAGACAAGCTTACATTTTAACACAGCAATGTCCGCATGATAATTACTTGCAGTACGTACCCCATACCAAACTCGCAAGACGGACTTTCATGTTTGCAAACTAACTACACTATTAGCAGTATACATTTTGTGTTTTCTTCTTCATCTTATTCTTCTGTTCTTCTGAAATGTTAACCTACTACTGCCCGTGGTATCATGACCAGTATTTTACATTTGTCGTAATTCTGTATCCTCGACAAGAAAACACAGATTTATATTTTGTGCAATTTAAATACTATATTAAACCAACAAAATTAAATCCTAGGTATGCTATTGTTTGAACACCACAATTGGCAACAAGTCTCCAAAGCGTTCAATGCGAACCATTAATACTAAAATCATATGAATCTGTGATAAGTGCATCTGTAAGGCAAGGTTGTGTTATATGTAATATTTGCCATTCCATCTTTATCATCTGTTCTTCATTTATAAGTCTTGCGCTTGGGGGGAGTGGAGGATAGCTCCTATTCTTTCTTGACCTCAGCACCAGATGGGGGTGAGTGGTCAGCATCATGCCCGGGCTGCGCATTACCCCCAGGAAAGGACCCCGGTACCCATTGGACAGGAGGCTGGGTGGGCCCCAGAGCCGGTCTGGATGCAGAGGCTAGAGGAAAAATCCTCTGCCCCAGTCGGGGATCGAACCCCGGCCATCCAGCCCGTAGCCAGTCACTATACTGACTGAGCTATCCCGGCTCATTTATAAGTCTTATAGTGTATGAAAATTCCTAAAATAACAAATAACTTCAGAAAACATAATACTTGAAGAAAAATCTCTTCTGAAATATATACACAAGAAGGTAAAAATTGTGTGTTACCAAAACGGAACAATTGTGACGAAAGAAAGATCACCAGATGGTGGAGCTGGACAGTGATTTCCATGTTGAAACTGATACGACAGTACAAAGTCACATTGTACATTGATCACATTTGTAATGACTAGAATACATTGTAACCACCTACTTGAATTTATATTTAATCATCACATGGAAAGATTTTTGTCTGGTGATTTTGTAATTTACAGTTGTCAGCGATAGCCAGTTGTAGGCACACGGTGAATTTTAGTGACGTAATTTCTTCCTACATCATACTGTCAAGTAAATCAAGGAGGTCTTGTTCTTTGTCTTCATCTTGTTGCAGTTCTTCATTCTGCATGGTCATCTCATCATAAACCTTCTCTAGAGCTGCGGTGGAAGTGCGGGTCCTAGCATCGATACGAATGAAGTTCTTTGATTCCAGTTCCTCTTTTTGCAAGGTGGGATTTCTGAAATGTGAATTTCAGCAACATACCTTACTTATCAAAATAATAATTCAGGCAACATCACATTTTACAAATCCTTATATGCATCTCTAGTCTGAAAGTGACAGGATTTGAAAAAACCTGTGAACAGATGTCATATCTGGCTTGCAGCCATTTCTACGATTTGAACCTCGGACCAAAGATTAAGAACCGCTGTTTTATAATGTTACTCGCTTCTTGGAGGAAAATGTTCACTTTAACAGAAAGGTCAAATAATGTGTTTCTAGACCATTTTTATAAACCATCAGTTCTGATCATTGTAAAAGAACTGTGAATTATGCAGAGTAAAAACAATCATTCTGCAGGAAATTCTGAGTGAAGTATCGAAAGCTTCTTGTGAAAATCAGTATGAAAATAGGGGCAGATCCACTTACGATTCTTTTTCTTCCCCCAAGCCAAATAAACTGAGTCGTATAATCTCCTTGCTACCAAATCCCTGCTTCTGTTCGGCTTGGCTGCCTAACAACTGGGCCATGAGTAAATTCAATTCCTCCTTCCCCAGTAAGAATTCATCTGCCTCAAGGTCCTGATACTTTGCTCCGTTGCCCACAGCCCCAATATTTTCCAACGGGTTATTGTTGCCGTAGTATGTATTCATTGGAGACATGTCAGTTGTCGCTGGCACTGTGTAACTGTAATTAAGGAATTAAGTTTCATAACAGTCCAAAGTCCCCACTAAGTTTAGAATGTTTGTCCTTTTCACTGAATGTATTATTCATCGTAAAAAACCGTTTTTTAACACCGAATTTTATCAAAATGTCATTGTACAGAAAACATCGTCAAGCAAATTTTCAATTAAACTGTTCATGATTAAGGTTTACAGAAGAAAGTTAAATATATAAGTGTTCCCATTTTTGATTTCATCCTCCCCTATGTAGGCAGGAAAACTTACCTTAAGGCTCATATCTGTAAATAAAGACTTGAAAATGCTTAACAGAACATACAAAAGTACCTAATGAACAGTGAACACATGCCTGCCACTGGGCGTGATCCTGACAGTTTAATCCACTTCACATCCCCCAAAAACAGCTTCCGTAGGATCCATTTTAATATCAGCCAGCCATGTTCTTCCTTGATGGCACTTTCAAAGAGGTTGTCCAACATAATTTTGTATTTGTTGTTTAACTAAACTACATTCTCAACCCAATGTTTCAACAAGGCTTCTAAGGCAAATTGCATAGACACATCAGATGTCCTCACATGTTACACCCAAGGTCCGTGCCTCTGTTTCCATGCATCTCCGTTGAACCAGGTTCGCAGGCAGCCGCATATTCTCCGCCTGCAGGAAAATGTGTAGTCTGACATACTATACCATCAGGATCAAATGAGCGGATACACCCTGGTATTTCACAACCTAAAAGCAATTACAAGTACGTGTTTATACTGTTGACTAATTGCTTGTAATACAAAACTGTATTACAAAAATTCAAGAAAATTATAAAAAGGAGCAACAGATTTGCAAGCAATTAGTGTGGCAGTTTCTGTTGGTTTTGTTTCTTCTTCTTTATTACGCCGTCTCCTTTACAGGAGGTTGGCGACATATTATGAACAGGATCCTTCCATCCTTTTCTCGGACTGGGACCTGTTTGTATATGTTTTTTAGGCAGGTGATACAGAAATGGTTTGCCATTGCTTTCTGTGGAGTAATTGTTGGGATGCCATGGAGGAACCAGGGAAGCCCGGGAGGAAAACTCCGTGTTGCTTAGACCACGGCCTTGCCCAACACAAGTTATAAATTCGGGCACCGCCGGGAATCGAACCCGAGACCCCAGGATTACAAGGCCAGCGTTCTAACCGCTCGGCTACCGTGGTGGTTGGTTTTGTTTACAGTGGACAAAAATATCAACTGATAGTGGACACGTGTCAACTAAAGAATTTCCAGGATGACCAGAAGGTTACAGGTGGCACAGATGCATATGGAAACAAGGCAAATAATCAGAATGAATTCTGACCATATTATGTGTAGTATATCCTCTATTTTAGAATCTGAAGTACACTTTTCAGAAATGCGCCTAATCAATGAGATGTTATAAAATCTATCAACATGGCAGCTCATTACCTGCTGGAACAGGTCCAGATGTTGGAATTACAAAGGTACCATCAGTGTTCTGAACTTTATGTCTCAGAAACACAGACACCCTCACCCTGTGGCCCTGCAAGAAGTTGAGCAGACTGTATTTCACATTCTGCATTTCACCTATCGAAAGGTGAGCATACATCTAGAAGAAACAGGAAACTATTAAACAATGCTGGACAATCTCTGATGAATGATGATGTGTTAAATTATGTATTAACTGTACTGATAATGAACTGAGTTACAATGGATTGGACAAAACAATTCATGGTCTATTTAAAGGTGTTATGTGGGATTTTCATATAGAATTATCTAGCCAAGGCAGCTGGTGGTTGAAAGAACGTGACAATTCCAAACGTTTTCACGGTATTAACCTGTTTCATGGTAAATCACTGTCATAGTGCCTTGGGTTTTTGTCCGAAATCAATAAACTATAGCTATGGAATAACAAAAAATGCAGCGTTTCTGACAATAGTCTTTCTTCATAGTGACAAAGCTTAAATAAATTGGATCATGTAAGATATGTGAATGGAATAATGAAAAATATTGCAACAGTAATTATGTAATAGTCCTTACTTGCATAAGCATTGTGTATGTTTTATCAATTTGGGTTTGTAAGGCAGGCGCAGAGACAAAGTTCCGAATAGCGTCTACATGGTTCAGTGTGATCAGTATGAGTTCAAGTGGCTGGCGTGCCATTAGCACCTGGTACTTGAAAGCCATTATCATAAGGTCATACAGCTTGTCCATGCTTGCTTCGTCTAGCCTCATAATGGAAGCATGAGCAAGATCTTCAAAAAGTTTTCGAAGGGCTGTCTTGTTGTAAACTGTCTGAGGTTTAAATAGCTGGATCAGGAACTTTTCATTGAGCATAATGCCCACAATGTCATTCATCACTGAAAAACAATTTCATAAAATTTCACTCATCTTGAGAGAAACACTAACTCATTAACAGGATTGTAGAAAAAGGGAGCAGATATGTAAGCAAAGCTGTCCCACTATACACCATGTAGGCACAGTGGGGAGAGGTGGTATAGCTCCTACTTATTCTTGACCTCGGCACTAGATGGGGGTGTGTGGTCAGCATCATGCCGTGGCTATGCTTTACCCCCGGTACCCATTGGATAGGAGCCTGGGTGGGCCCCAGAGCCAGTCTGGATGCAAAGGCTACAGGAAAAATCCTCTGCACCCATTGGGGATCGAATCCCAGTCAACTAGCCTGTAGCTAGTCGCTATACTGACAAACTTCTAAGTAATCTGAAAAATGAAAGTTGCCCTTCCTCCAAAGCATGAAAAGAAAGCTGTCAGCATTGGACTGAGGACAGGAATTAGGTTTTATGCTTTGGTTGTTTTAATGTTGGGGAAGGCCCCCCTAATCTCATTGGTGTGTGCAGAAGCAGTGGTGGAAGTTAAATAAAATCCCTGGGCTCTGTCATTAACCCTTCAAAGCCCAGTGGGAATTATGTATACCACTTGCTCCAACAATCTCTGCATGTTGTATTTGTGTTTTTTGTATGATTCTCACTGTAAAATGATTTTCCTTAAAACAGCATTAACCTATTGGCCTTTGCAATTGTGAAGTGATGTGTTTTGTTTGTGGTATGGAATTAATTCCTGAATATTACTCCAGCTTCAAAGGGTTTGACTTCTACATTCTTAGCTCATAATGTGAAGTAACTATGGAATGCACATATATTCTAATTTTAATCACTGACTACGCCATCCATCTACAGTGTACCATAGGCGTATTGCAAAGCTGTGTGCAAATCAGTAACTGGTTCTAGAAATGTATTATTTTGTACATTTCTGAATGCAAAACAAATGCAACTAATCTTTCTATAAGGTATTTTGGTTAGGAATTTATCAGCAAATTAGGGAAGCATGGTAACATGCAGGTGTTAACACACTGGCACATCTACAGGTATAATCCTTTCCAATAATATGGACCGGCTTCGAAGATGGCCAAAACAATAGAATCTTGAGGTTGGCACCCGCCTTTCATCGCTTTATCCTTTGGTATCCGTTGAGCATTTAATCTTTGGTTCAAAATGTATATCATCTCTCCTCCAAGATTAAGAAACAATAATGGAACGGAATAAACGCTACACATTTTCGTTCTTTATACTTCCGAATTTTTGTTTGTTTCTTTCTCAACCTCCCACTACGATACACACATTCACCGCGTACATTCCATGGATTAATTCTGTGTCACAGATGATACTGTTATTTTCGTTGACTGCCGCGGGGGTACATTTCTTTTGGGAGAACTGTTTGATAACGAGGATTTAAGCTAAGAAACAAATAGACACTCATAGAGAATAGTCATTCCATAAGAACGACCAAACATTTCGCAATATTATTCTTACAAAACAAAATTTTATGTTGGTTGTGTTTGATGAATGTTACAACAACACTGACAACTTTCTTGGTCGTAGTAAAACCGAAGAGCCAACGGTTACAGGTTCTTGAGTGCGTTCACGTTGCTATTATAAATCGATTAAAATTGAACAAAGAAACAATAGAATGAAACGTTGCGTAGTTTGGAAATACTACTTCCGTATGTGTTTTAAGTTTTCTAGGTACTGGTAGTCTGTTGAAAACGTAGATGTCGGGTAGGGACTATAGTATTGTTGAATATTATGCTGAACATGAAGGATATCGTTGTGGCTACTGCAACTCTACAGATACAAACTATAGCCATGGTAAGTAGCACATTAAAATAGTTACCTCTTTGTTTGTCTGGTTTGTAAGCCGAGCAGGAGCTAATTTATTCACGTTTTAATATATCAGTAGGCATTACATACTACAGACACATGTTACCACATATTTTCAGGTATGTGGGCCCATAACATGACAGTTCATGACTATCAAGATTTGGTTGATCGCGGATGGCGAAGAAGTGGAAGATACTGTTACAAACCTACAATGCATATAACTTGCTGCCCAATGTATACCATCAGGTATGTATTAACAAAAAATATTCAGAGGAGTGTTAAAATTAGTATATTGATTTGCCCATTACTTGCCTGAAGTATGAATTGCAGACTATGTAAGTTCCATTTCATACTCTCTAAGGGAACCCCCATCAAGTCATCTGTTGTAAAGAACGCAGTTGAGCAGTAAATTATATTAACTGATATGAATTGTGTGCTGGAGCAGTGTGCAATGGAACTGCTTTCAGTTTTAGGTGTAGTAGTTAGTCTCAAGACTAAGCTAAAAGACTGCCAGCTCCTCATGGATGTGTATACAAAATTATTGTAGCTATATTGGTGGACTGATTAGAATAAAATATGAATGAAAGAGTTAGTAAGTAGGTCTAACATAGATTATTCAGATGTACTTAACCCCATTTCTTTTTGCATTCAATTATATGTATTAGACCTAACATGAACTACTGTTTCCAATCTGATATTATTTATGAATCTTACAATCCTGTCTTTTTAATATATAGCTGTCTACTGTGCTTTTTATATTATCAAACAGTTCATAATTTTCTTTTTGTGTCAAACAAGTTATTGTAAAAGGAAGTTGGTGAAAGTTTCTTTGAAGGCTATTGTGTATGGGCCAATAATATTAGGGAAATGAGTCTGATGTTGTCATTTCCATCATATTCAGTTTCATGCTTTTATGATTTGTTTAGTCTGAGGGTATAATTAAGTAATAACTTATAAAAGTAAAAAGTAAAGCTGTCCCACTATATGCCATGCAGGCACTTGGGGGTAGAGGAGGTATAACTCCTACTCATTCTTGACCTCAGCATTGGATGGGGGTGAGTGGTCAACATCACGCCCCGGCCATGCTTTACCCCTGGGAAAGTATCCCGGTACCCATTGGATAGGAGGCTGGGTGGGCCCCCAAAACGGGTCTGGACACAGAGGCTAGAGGAAAAATCTGTCCCCGTCACGGATTGTGCCTTGGCAACTTTGATTTATAAATTTGGGTACTATAGAATGGACTGAAGCTTTTACTACACCAGGATTATGGAACTGAAGGCTGTAATATAACCTGAATTGTATTTGTGAAAAAGACAGTAGCTTACACTTATTTCAGCCATGAAAGAAATGGGAAATGGTAAAGCTATCAAGTTTGGTGTCCATTTGTATTAGCTAAGTTACAGTACTTTGTATAACCAGAGATACTGTGAATACAGCCCATATTCAGTGACAGATTTTGTGTATTGCTGTAGAAAGGAAAAGCTTATGATAGGATGTCAGTATTTTGGAGGGTTACAAAAATCTATGTTACTAGTCAGCCTTTATATTCAAGGTGTGCTGCGTTGGACTTCAAAATATCCAAATCTCAAAAGAAGGTTTTGAAAAGACTTTATCGTTACCTGTCCCACGGAGACATGAAGGCTGCTGATGATCTGAAATCACCAGGAGGAAGCATTCTGACATCAGAGCACTCTGGTAAGGATATTAGTAGATTTGCTTGTAACTGGCAATCTAGAATCCAAACGTTCTCTAACCGTAAAGATTATTTGGTATTCCACAGGAATCTGTTTTGGGGCCTCTGCTTTTCAACCTATTCATTGATGACTTATGTAATGTAATTAATCACTCTAGGTATATTCTTTTCTCTGATGATATCAAAATCTTCAGTGTCATTAAATCTCCAAACAGCTACAGTCAACTTCAATCTGACATTGATTCCGTACAAGGTTGGTGCATTGTTAACTTCATGAAACTCGGTATTAATAAAACCAGAGTTATATCCTTCTCGAGAAAAGTTAATACACTGTTCTACGATTTTAAACTTTGTAAGTCCTCTGTAATATGTGCTGACTCTGTTAAATACCTGGGAATATTTATTGATTCTAAACTTTAATTCAAGAACCATGTCAAATTCATATTTTCACTGTATTTTCTATGCATTAATTTGTTGGGTCGTGTTTGCATTTTAACATTTTCATTCGCTTCACTTGACTGCCTGTATGTGTTATATTTTACTGTAGTTATGCCTCAGTTATTTTGGAATTCTTTTATGACTACTGATGCGAACAAACTGCAACACATCGTGCAGAAGTCTGTAGCCCTTTGCTTTAATGATTTCCTCCCCGTGTTCATTGTAGCCAGTGGTGTGCAGTACTATTTTCGGTAAGGGAAGCAGTGGTATCTTTTGATTGTCAAGTTGACAGTCAGTTCAAGACTTACCGAACATCACAAGTTGCATTGTTAAAACAATTGGGTTTCAGAGTTCTCATGCCGTTTAAATGCTTTATGATAAGCAATGCTTCCATACATGGCATGCCACAGCTATGCTGTTGCTGTTCCTTATACAACTTTACCATGGTTTGAAATACTACCCTTCCCTTCTGGAAGCTGTTGGTATTTGAATTTGTGCTTGATATCCGAGAAACTTTTCTTTGTTCAGTTACTGCCTTCCAATTGAAAACTGTTGTGCTGGATGCACATCCGCTGCAAGGACTTCGATAAATTTAAAACAAAAATTGTTTCCTTTAATCTCATTCTGTAATAACTTGTTACTGTCCGTATATTAGTTTTTAATTACATTCGATATAAATTTATATTTACATACTTTCCCCGTTCTCTCCTCTACTTACCGTTGATCAACTGTAAGTTATCATTTTAATTAAATAAATTGTCTGATTTAGTACCTTGTTTGTTTTGCTTAATTTCTTCTGCTTTTAATCTAATTGAGTGAATTTAATTGAATTATTATTACAAAGATCTTGATGTAGTTAGTAGAAAGTTGCCTTTGTATATTAACGTCTTCTACACTCATAATCTTTTGTTGTTACCTTTCTCTATTTATTATTGTGCTTTTCTCTTGTGTTGTATCTGTATTTGGCCTCCTGACTGTTAACGCAGTACACTAATAATAAAGAATTTAATTGAACTCGGATATAAACTGCTAATGCCAGAGTGCATCGATGGATCACGTCCATCTTTATGTTTTACCTCCTAGAAGGACTGAACTAATTTAAATGAAATTCTAATGAATTTCATCTAAAAGTTGTCATGTGAATGTTATTTTAGTCTTTTATAATTTGTGCTTTACATTTCTAAAAGATGCCACATCAATAAATTATGAACTTGCAAATTAATGAGTGACTCAAATATGGTGTCAGGAGGATTGTCACGGAATTGTTGTGTGTAAGTAAGAACATTCTAGGTTAACTTTGGTTTTGCTATTTAACGATACAGTGTCTTACTGAAGCACAGCACTGCTATGATGAACCTCTTGATGACATGTTTGGGTCACCCTTCAATTTGTAAATACCTAAAAATGGATTTCTTATTTCAAGTGCATTAGATCAGTGGTATTCAACCTTTTTTGTTCGCGTACTCCCAGATATAATTTCTCTTCAACTTTGTACCCCCAAAGTTGTTGGTGTATAATTCAAGTTATACATAGTATATAATCTATATCTAAAATAAATTAAATAAATTACATTACTGATTATTCAGTGTTTATCATAAAATAATTTATATATTTTTTAAATTTCACGTACCCCCTAAGATGTCTTCGCGTACCCCAGGTTGAATACCACTGCTTTAGATAATAAAACTAATTAGGTACGTAAAAGCAGCATGCTTCATTGTGAGAGCCATCAACGGGCTCAGATTCATTACATCGAGATGGAGGCGGTAACAGTAAATTAGTTCGTGTGGTAAATTGATGTCAGTTAGTGTGTTGCACTGGAGAAGGAAGGGAAATACAGAAGAATTGATAAGAAGTACGTTAGAAACAGATGCATTTGATGGAGTTAACAGACTAGCATATACTAAGATGAAGGTGGTAAGGAATACAGTAATAGTGACATAAAAGAGGATTCTGTATTGATATGTGGTTAGGAAGAGTAGATTATAATTAGACTTAGAGCAAGTGAAAAGGATGAACAGAAATATTTCAGATAAAATATTTTGTGTTAATATAGGAGTCAGAAGATGTGTACTGTTTCATGAATGAAGTGCTGATAATTTTCGCGTGTAATAAGAAATTATATAAGTGTGCAATCAGTCTGTTGTATTAAATCAAAATTGAGAGCAACATGTTATGAGGGGCCTTTAAGGTTTTTATCATTCTGATGAGTCCAATTTTGGAGAAAGAGAAGTGGGGGAAATCTGTGTAGTTGACTTTGTGTCATGGACCATTCCTCTCTTACCCTATTTGTGTATATTTTAGAATTTCCTGAAGTGATGGACATCCCAGATCTTCATCAGAAAGCATTGAGAGCAGAAAAGAACTTCGAAAGTACCAAAGTGTTCTCAGTGGATCTGAATGTATTAGTAAGATCAGGTGAGTGTAATTGTATAAATGAAATGGCTAGATGAGCCAAGTGGAGAACGGCAGAAGAGAACTTCACGATCGTTAATCTGTGCCCAGTACTTTCAGGGCCACTGAGCCAAACAGATACGAAACTGAGGTGTATTTGTGTTCTTAAAATATGCTGTACATTTAATGTTGCATTGTAT